TTGATCTCTGCTGACTGAATTAAAACAAAAATGTATCATTTTAAAATTTGGATTAATTTTTTTTTTACTAAGGGCATTTTAGAAACAAACTATTAAATTAACGATTAACTAACAATATGTAAAAAAAAAAAAATTCAGTTAAGGATGTGAATTGCATAAACTATTGATAAATATTTTTATTATTATGTATATACATGTAGTTGATGTATTGATATCTATTCTGTACATAACAGCATTGTGACCTTTTTAGTCTTAAGGTCATGTATTATATCATTTATTTACTGACATAATATAGCCCAAGGATTCCGATATTAATTTGCTTCTTTCTGGTGTTTAACAAAAATAAATAAAATACATTTGAGATTGAGGACAAATAATTGTTTACTTAATCAATGTAGTCTTAATTATGTGTTGAAAATATTTGCCACTTTATTTTGAATCTGCCTGGATTTCAATTATTAAAATGTAGCCAAGTGTCTTCAATTGCATTTTCCCACGTCATGTTCTTCATTTAAAAATAAAAAAAAATAAAAAAATAATTATAGGCATAACAAAATTCAACAACTTTTGTTAGTGGTAATTTCTTTTCTTAACTGTAGTTATTTTAACGCCAAAATGATACTAATCTTTGAATGTTTTACTGTTGTTAGGTACAAAACACTTAAATATCTAAGTGAATTCTCATAATATAGCAACAAATTCTATATTTCTCCTGTAGCAAAGACATGTCATTTTGCGGTTTTAAAGTACTGTAAAATACTTAATTTGAGCTGTATTTTATTTTTGCTGAAAAGACTTTCGATTTGTAAAATATAGGTTGAAAAGGTATATTCACTGGATTTTATTTTCACTCAATCACCCTTTCAGCAAAAATTGCGAATTAAATTCCAAGTGAAAACAAAGTACTTTACAGACTATACCAAATTATTAGAGCACATGCAGTACATCTGTGTTTGTCAAAAAAATAGAGCACACAATTATTATCAGATGAAATATTACTCGATTTTTTTAATAAATAAATAATAATGATAAGTTAAACACACACATCTGGAAATGCCGATATTTTTTTTTCTATTCTGAAAAGGTATTGCAATAGCAATGCATTGAATATTGCGGAAATCTCTGGCTTGATTAAAACTGTTATATCTCCAAATAACAGCGGGTGGGTTTTGCCCAATAATGCTTACTGAATGGTTGTATATATGAGATATATTTCATTTGCACTGATTGCTTTGCTTTATTCATGTCATGTAATATGATAGAGCACTCCCTCTACAGTCATTAAATATAAGCTTGACTGAAGACCAGATAACATTCATCTTATTAGTTTATTCTGCAGAGAATGAAATACAATATCCCTGTGTTCTTGATTTAAAGGTTTAGATAAATAGATAAATAAATAAATAAATAAATAAATAAATAAATACATGTCTAAGATTATTTTAAAATTTAGAAATTGAAATAATGTTTATTAAATTGTTTGGATTTTTTTCTGTATTTCCTTCACATGTCTTCCCTTGCCATGTCATCTGTCCCCCCTCTGCATAAACAGCGAAATGTATGAAGTCATATATTTTTGTCGATAAGTTGTTTACATCTCAGAAAGGATTTTGCATTCTGTAAAAAAAATGTAGACAAATAGACCAGGGAAGTGTAAAGTATTAAATTTCTAAGTGAATAGAAAAATGTGTATTCAATTCAAAAGCCCTACATATCTTAATTGTGGCTGAAACTCTACGCCTGACTATGTTTATACACCTCACTGCAGACAGTTATTTTGTTAGCTATGCTCAATAACTGTTGATGGGGGGTGGGTGGTACTGTGTGTTGAGATGTTACTATCAGAAAAATTATTAGAATAATATTGGGATTTATTATAAATAAAAAATTAGTCTACAGGCATTTTGTCAGACAACTAACAATATCTTCAAAAGATGTAGCTTGTATGTGTTCTGATATGCATTGATTTGCTGCTGTAATATTTTGCAAGTTCAAACTTTATTATGTTTTTGCGGTTTGATGCAAATTGTGCACTGCCCCTCAATTAGTGACCCACCCTACCCTACATATTTTTTGTTGTTGGTATGTCCCATTTTTGGGGTGTCTTTTCAATTGGCTGCCAAGTCAGAATGGATTCATTTGCATTGTAAGGTAATCTGATCCCTGAATAAAGCTTTGTTATGCATAAGACAACATACAGCTACAAAAAAAATCTGAATTAAACTGCTGGCTTGTAACAGTTTGTCTGGCAAAACGTCCATGGACCTTATCTGCAGTGGCGAGTGCTCGATAAATGAACAACAACAATCAGTGGAAATGAATAGGACTGTATTATGCTGGTGAGTTGCCCCTACACCATTCTATGTCTGACAAATTACTTGCTGTGTGGCTCTGTCAGTACACTCATTACTCACTAACAGTTGTATGCTTTCTTCAGCTTTTTGATTTTTTTTTTTTTTTTATTCACACAGAAAGCAGTTGAAGGTCGTCACACTGTAACTGAGACCACCACTACAGCAATGAGGTAGGATGGCCTGCTTCTGTTATGTGTTTAATCCCCCTTCCCTGTTGTGCCACAGTATCAACACTGTATATCAGTCTCTTAGTCTGCTAAAAATACAGCAGTTGGTCACTACCAATCTGGATTGCCTATTGGTAATGACCCAACCCCCTGGGATGTCTGGTATTTAAGCCTGGATAGTGTGGTCTACTGTTTATAGCAGGATGACTGGTGTTGATTTATACTGTATGAAAATGTGTGTGTGTAGGAGGGAATAGTGGAAAACCCATTTTGATTTTAATAATTGGATTGTGTTCTCTTCTTTCTCTGTACTATGGTTACGCAAATATTTGTGGGTGATTTCTGACATTGTATCTCATGTTGTGGTTGCGCAAACATGCACCACCCCTCTCCCTCTTTGTGCATATATTTATAAGTATGCTGTCTGTCACGTACCATCCTCTGTGTGGGATACTGTCTGTTTTGGGCCCCCCTGTTTTGTATGAGCTAAGGAGTTACAAATTGACACAGGAATGCATAATCATAAAATAGACAGTAATGCATCATGAACATGTAATAACTAGCAATGTAATTTGATCAATGATCAATTTCTCCCTTTTACATGTTTTCTAGTATATTTCAATTTCATAGTGTCATACATGTGATGTGAAGCACGTAAACGCAACTACTTGTACTGTGTATGTTTGTGTGCATGCAGATCGAAGGGACAATCAATGTATAAGTGTGTGACCATACGCATGGTATTGTGTCACCACATATATTTTAATGACACGTCTTTTGTTATGTTTAGTGTGTTTAAAAGTCCACACACTTTTTATGTCATTATATCGGCTTTGTCTGTGGTGTGAATGATTTAATGTCTCTGTGTGTATAGTAATTAGTAAGCGTGTAAAAGTATACTCTGTCTAAACGAGAGTGAAAACCTATCTTGATTTTTATGCTTACTAGTTATTATGTTTGTTAAAAAAAATCAATGAGTTTATGAGAAGTGCTTCTTCACTAAATAGGTGTAGGTGACTCCATTTGTAGCAGACGTGTACCAAAACCGAGTGGTTCCAATGGTGTTTATCATGTGAATGTTGTTGTTCTGTACCAGGTTGTGTTGTCATTAGAGTATTTACTCGCATATTGTATCGTTTTACGTGCACCTCATTCTGTCTGGTGAAAGCCGACATGTTGTTCACAATGGCGGGATGTTTTAGCTTGCACTGGCTTTTTATCCCCTGTAAGACAATCCGCCCACCGGAGAAGGACTGGACAGCACTGTGCTGTACCAAGGAAAGTTCATTATGTATGCAAATACCAGACTCTGCTTTGTTTGGCTTCGTTTATAGTATACCGGACTTACAACCAGTTGTCCCTGTTGAGCAGAGCCCTTCTATAGTAACTATGTCAGTTTTAATATTATTCAGATTTGTTTGTACTACCTTAGTCATTTACCAAGTGTTCTGTAATGCCTTCCATGAGGTGAGTTAAACTGTACATAACAACAATGGTTGGCAGGTCATTTCGTTACATCTGTGTCTACTCTATAAAAGACTTAAAATTGCTCAGTAAAATCAACCAAAGCTATGAAATGAAAGCAATATATTCTTATTTTTTAAAGCAGTTTTAATACAAGCATTAAAATAAAATATTCTAGTCTCTTTTTGAGAAATAATTTGATACCTATAGAGTGTAAGCAAAACAAATAAACAGTGTACTGTATGTTCTCTGGTGTCAAGGTCAGGAATTCCCTCAGTGTTGCTCAGTAATTGTCTCATCTATAAACTGAATTCAATTGAGGCTGCTTTATTATTTCAGCTTCACATTTCAAGTAAATAAGAGGGGCACTCTTGTAAACTGTTTAATTTTTACTGCTATAAAATTTGCAATTTCAGGATTTTATAACATTTGTTGAGGAGAAAATTTCATGAAAGTCTCTGATACTTCACAGACTCCAGACAAATTTTCTCTGCTACAAAATGTTGTGATTTTTACTGACTAGCGAATTTCACAAAATGTTGTGATTTTTACTGACTAGCGAATTTCACAAAATGTTGTGATTTTTACTGACTAGCGAATTTTACAAAATTTTGTTCCTTACAAAATCAAAACTGATTCAGCATATACCGATAGTAGTGGTATTTATGTGTAGTCCTGTAAACATTTTAGGGGTCGTGTTTATGTAAATTCAGGAAATTACATGAAGGAAATAATGAATTGACTATATCGGGTGGATGTAATATTTAAAATTGAATTCTGGAAATTTGTCATTTAATGCATAGGATTGTCACTATTATTAATAATCAGAAAAAGATAAAGATAAATTTTATTACATCAAGCAAAAAAATATAATAAAGATTATTATTAATAATAGAAATGATGCAAAAAATGATTTCCTGTTGTTTTGGCCTCTATTTTTTTACATGGTTTATGAAACAGTTTTATTCTCTGTGAAAACATAAGCTTAATTATTCACAATTTTTAAAAATATCAATATAATTATTTTCCCAACCCAGTCGGAGTGCATTCGATTTTATGTGTACTTTAAGCTAGTAAAAGATTACCGTTTTACACAGGCTATGCTAATATTACAGGTAATATTTTAGTAAATGTACTCCTTTGATAATTGATAGTAGGCGATTTATAACCTGAGAAAACAACTGCCCTTGCTAAGCCATCAATTTTGAATACAGAATTGTTATAAAGATCAAAGTAATGTCTGTTGATTTATCTGAGTGTACATTCATTTGCACTCACTCTGTAGTGTTTTAAATTATTAATGAAAACATTATTGCCTTGCAGTATGACACTTGTACAAATCCCCTTGCTAGACTGTATCTGGGCTGAAATCAATGAAACCTTCATTAAAATATTATGATAGCGGTGTTTAGTTATTTAATGAATATATTTGTATCTTCAGTGCAGACAGGTTATTTTCATAGTCATTAAGCACAATTTTGATTAGATATTACTAAATTCCCATGGCTTCTTGTTTACTGTTGTTATCCTCTTCCCACCGGATACTTGATTTATTCTGCCGATAAGGGGCTGATCATTAAAACTCTAGAAGTAGGCTAAATTTAGGGAAAACAAATGTGCGCAGAGAAAAAAAAAAAAAAAAATCCTCCAAAAAAAAAAAATATTCATAAAAAGGGCATCTACATATTATACTGGATAGGGAAAAAATTCTTACAGCTAAATGTACTTCCTTGTGGGGGTGGGGGGGGGGTCTAGCTAAAAAATCATTGAAGGGACAAAAATAATTTGCATGATTTGTTTGTATCATCTCAGTTTCTGGTTAATCCATGATGTACCCTGTAATGTAATATTCTACATGTTTAGCTTTTTACTGAACATGCCATTTTTACATTTCCCAGAAAAATCTTTTTTATTTTCATTATTAGCTATCATCTAAAAAAAAACCTGCTTTATATATTTTTTTCTCCTTTCATAAAACAGTACAATATTTTTTTTTTTTTTTAATATTTTAAAAGAGCTTTAATTTACATTTTTTTTTTCTTTTGCAATTAAGACAAGATAGTTGAATTGAAAAGCAGATTTTCTTAGGGTATAACATTTACATAAATCTTTGTGTACAATCACTTGATTGTTATGTAGCCTTGTCACAACCTTTGAACTTAAATTAACACCCACTGCGCAGTGAGTGGAAATAATGTGCAAGTAAATTGGTTTGTTCATTGCTTTCAGTCTCATCTGACTGATTATACAAAGGACATCGGTTCTCTATTTAAATCCACTGGCTTTTTCGTCAACAATTCTGTTGAACACCTTCAATAGGTGTATAGGCAACACAGCTATCTTGTAGCTTGCGGCCTTTATTTCTCCCTCTATTTATAACAGTGATGTCATACAAAAACGCCTTAGCTTTTACAATATTGACAATTAACTGAACTATTAAGCTATAGTCCATCCATATATACATTGATTATTGAATATACTATTAGTTAACAATACCTCCATACTGTTGCACTGTTATAATCTTGTGAAAACATTGCATTTTTTGCGTATAGACATACCACAGAGTGTACAAATTAGATTTTTGCGGTGATCTTAACTGTAAGTAATGGGTATAGTGAATTGTAATTTCTCAGATATTAATGTGATAGTTATATTATACATAAGGCCTTAGAACATCACTGCAATCTTATCTGGTTATTTGGAAGCAAAATTAATTTCCCGTTATGGATTGTAATTAGTGCTCTGCCTTGTGATCTTCTACATGTTATAAAAACAGTTGAAAGACCACCAATATGGTTGCCAATATCTTAACAATAGCATTCAAAATACCGAACATGCAAATGGTCATTTAGCGTGAAATTATAATTAAAACGCATCATGTGATATACTGTAAATTGATTTAATTTCAATAAAGAATTTTTTTTTTTAATTTCTTGAGGCAGTAAAATTATTACACTTTCTTGCATCAAATATTTGTCTGAGGATCATAAGACACTGTCAATGAATTTCACGAAATTTTGTCTCAATAAATGCCATAGAATTTTCAAATTGTGAAAATTCTCAGCAGCGAAAATTAAACGTGTTATTTTACTCATTTGGGGTAAAATAATAGAAACTTATCTCCAATAGAAGCGACATCAACTGAAAATTGCTTATATTGTATTCTTGATTTAATATGACTTGTTTCACTCACTGACATACATCTTTCATTTATATTTTCCCCAAAAGGGGAGATATGTTTTAAGGAATGTTACTATATTGTAGATTAGCGAAAGTGCAAAGAACAAATAATCTAAATAGAATTGTCAATTTAAATGACAATTGCTTTCTTGTACACCATTTTGACATCATTAGAAGACGGTGTTCTGTCTTAGAGGGCGGTCTTCTGTCACTAGAGAGCGCGATTTATAGGAATGATGTAGGGAATCCAAAAAAAGAAAAAAAAAATCAGCTGGTGGTCCTTTCATTAGGATTTTTATGATTCTACAAAAGTTTTGCCCCACGATATTTATCTTTGGTCAAGTTAAAGTAGTTTACAG